AATGCAAAAGAAGTTCTTCCAAGAGAAGGAAAATGATACAGGCCAGAAACTTGACTCTACATAAAGAAAGAAAGGGCATTCGCGAGCAAAAAAAAAATGAAGCTAAAACAAACTCTTTTATTTTCTTATTCTTAATTGATGTAGGAGATAACCATTTGTTCAAAATAATAACAGCAGCACTATATTCAGGGATTATAGCTTATGGATAAGTGATATGAATTACAGCAATGTTCTAAATTATGGGAGTTAGGAATTAGGAAAACTCTGTTATAAGGTAAGTGCAAGAACAAGTACTTGCACTAACTGTGGACTGATATGCAGCTATTTGAAAGAAGGCTTAGCTTAATTGTAAATGTATGTTGCAAACTCAAGGACAACCATGAAAGAAAGAAAAAGAAGAAGTAGAGTTGATATGCTCACAGAGGAGAAAAAATGGAAGCATACAAATGCTCAAATAAAATCAGAGAAGACAGAAAAAGGAAGATCAAAAAGAAAAGAAAAAACCACAAATAGAAAAATAGAAAATAAAACAGATATGGTAAATATTAATCCAACTATATCAATAATCATTTTATTTTTCCTTAAGTCTATAGATTTATTTTCCCCCAGTCTTATTGAGGTAATAAAAATTACATACATTTAGGCTGCACACTGCAATGTCCTTTTTTAAGGCATACAACGTGATGATTTAATATACATATACATTGTGAAATGATTATCACAATCAAGTGAATTCACACATCCATCACCTCCCATAGTTACCTTTTTTGTGGTGAGAACACTTCAGATCGATTCTCTTAGCAAATTTCATGTATACAATACATTGTTGTTACCATCTTCTTCATTAGATTCCCCAGAATGTATTCATCTTACAGCTGAAAGTTTGTACTCTTTGACCAATATCTTCCCATTTCTCCCACCCTCCAGCCCCTGGCAACCACCATTCTGCTCTTTGCTTGAATAAGTCTGACTTTGTGAGACTCCACATATAGGTGAGATCATGCAGTATTTGTCTTCTCTTCTTAGAGTGAACCCTAAGGAAACCATGCAGTTCAGTTAATAACAACGTGTCATCGCTGGCTCATCAATTGTAATTTTGTCTCACTAGCTACAATTCAAGTGCTCAATTGCCACATATGGCTAGTGGCAGTCATGCTGGACAGTGCAGATCCAGAGAGAAGAGGAAGTACCATCTCTACTTCTCCTCCCTCAGTCAAAATGGGAAAGGGAATTCTGTAATTCGGTGTCATTAAAGTCACTTCTCTCAGTGGTTAAAGAGAGTCTTGATGGCTCACCCCTTGGGAGCAGGAGCTAATCATCCTCCCCCTTTAAACATGAATCTCAGAGAACTAAGAAAGTTGTGCAGTTAACATCTGATATTTACTTAAGTAAACATTAAATATTAGGTAGAAAATGAAAGAAACTTGGTTAAAACATTTTTAGTAATGTCTTTCTCAAGTTCTACATCTTTCTCTTCTTGAAGGAAAAGCACCAGTTAATTTTTTTAGAGCCTGGTAAGAAAGATGGACTCTTCTATAATGATTGTCCAAATATTTCCAGAAGATAGTTCTATCTTATACAAATATTTGACTACAAATTTTTTATGTAATTTTATGTGTATAAATTTAAATTTTGGCTTTGTATTGGCTGTGTCACATCTCATTGAGTGAGGTATACCAGTTCCCCATAGAAGGATGCTGTAAAATGGCAACTCATGTGCGAAGTCTTTTAACCCCTGTTCGGCCACATAAAAATGGTCCTTCAGCCTGAAACACTTCCTTATTAAGAGATAAAGCGCCAACAAAGCCTGTGCTAGGCTTATCATGTGGGTAGGAATATCTTTCCCTGGTTAAGCTCAATGAGTACTCCATTGTTCTACATCATAACCTGCCTGGCAGATTAAAAGCACATGCAGCATAAAGGGCCTGGCCAACCCCACTGTTATATCTGTCCCCATGGGAAGTGGATGGAGTTTTTCCATATGACTCAAGAGAAGTGCACCTTAGACAAATTGCCCTGAGTCAGCTGCCAGGACATGACTACAGGCCAGACCGTGGGGGATGAATGGGACCAGAAGGGGCTGTTCTAAAAGAAACTCCATTGGGGGAAAGTAAGAGATCAGGGCTGCAACACCTTCTCATTGGCTGAGCTGGGGCATTTCTCAATGGCTGGGCTATTGCAGGGTGGGGAGAAAAAATCTTCCTTCAAAAGTAAATTAGTTTTACTTCCTGTAGGAAATGCAAGCTTCCATCTCTTCCTGTCAGGTATAATTGATAAAGGACGAGACAGCATTACTGCTCTCCCTACAGGTCCTCCCCTTTCCAACTTAGTTAAGGTTTCCTTTATTAATTTCCACACAATATTTTTGCCCTTTCCAGAATTTTATATAAATGGAGTACGACTTGTGTCTTTTTAGGAAGATGGCCCTATGAAGACAGATGCACGCAGGGGGAGCACCATGTGATACAAAGGCAGAGTTTGGAGTTATGCAGCTGAGGGTCAAGGAGCTCCAAAGATTGCCAGTGAACCACCAGAATCTAAGAAGAGGCAAGGAGGGATTCCCATGCAGGTTTTAGAGGGAGGTTAGTCCTGCTGACACCTTGATTTTGGACTTTTAGCTTCCAGAATGAGATGATACATTTCTGTTGTTTTAAGCCTCACAGTTCAGGGTGGATTAGTATAGTAATCCTAGGAATCTAGTACAAGGGGCTCAGGACAGTGCCTGGCATGTAATAGGCACTCACTCATGCCACTTGCTGTTGTTGTATGGCAAGGACAGGTGTGTGTGTGTGTGTGTGTGTGTGTGTGTGTTTGTGTGTGTTAACTCTAGAGAATTTGGTTTGGCAGAAGAGGGTGTGAAAAATGAGCCACCCAGAAATATTACCATTCCATCCTCCCGCTCCTGCAGCCATTGAGTTTTTAAAGCTTTTCAGCACTGAGCTGTGTTTTGAATTTCACGTAATCCTGTGGGAAGGAGGCAGATGAGAAAGTCAGGCCATAAAGAGGCTCAAGAAGGCACAAGGAGTTAGCAGCAGAGCCTGGACTAGAATCCAGGGCTCCTGTTCCCACCTCCATCGCAGCACTAACTGCTGGTTTGAGTATTTGGCCATTCCAGAGCACCAGAGCTGAGAGTGTCCTCTCTGGACAGGTGTGATCCGGGCATTGGTGGCTAGAATGTGACTTCTCTCGACACCTTTGGTAATGCATTGATGGACTCCTGCTTTCTCTTTTCCAGGTGTAAGTTTGAGGATTATGGGGATTAATACTAGTTCTCTTCCTCCCCGTCTCTTGCATGGCAAATAGCTACTGGGCACTCTATCTTCCGATGGAAACGGGCCTCATTGGCAGAGCCCAGCTAGCTCCAGCCCCTCTCCTCCCTTGACTTTTTTTAAGAAGGAACATTCAGCTTGGAGAACTGACATTTGCTGCCAGAGGGGCTCAGAACGCAGTTCCCAAAGATGTGTCCAGGGGAACCTCTGATGCTAAAATTCTGAGCATCCAGAGTTCCAGGCATCAGTGATTCAAATACTCTGAGGCGACAGTTCTGGGAGTCTGAGTTTCCAAGACTATTAATTGTGGACTTTGCAGTTCCAAGATTTGACAGTTTTGTTACACCACAATTCTAAGATTCCCCCAGTCGAGGTTTCTTGGAGCCTCTTAAGGTGACACACACGGAGATGGATGAGGTTTCATTTTGACACTGGATTCTTAATGTGTTTATAATATGAAAGTATGACTCTAGGAATCCATCCTTATCCTCCTTCAATGATCAGGAAGCAGCCAATTTATGGAACTCAAGTTGCAAGACACAGAAAATGGAAATTGAGAAACTTGAGAATCAGAGCCAGTGATGAAATGTACAGGGTTCAAAAGACCAGGCTTCCCATCACTCGATCTCAATCACAGGTCCTTCAAGTCTAGCAAGTTTTGTGAGGGTGGGGTCTGTGTAGCATTTAGATGTATGGCTACATCTAAATCTAGATCTAACACAAGGACCTAAGGCTGATGCCGCTTCTAAGGAAACATACACTAACTTATTCAAGAGGAGGCAGGTGACTCTGAGACACTTAAGTCCCAGATCTGGAGATAAGACCCCAGATCCATCAGACAGAGCCCTGCCTTCAAAATCTCATAGGAAATATGAGTTCATCCATACTCTCAGGCCAACATACAATCATATCCCAGTATGCACACATGCCTGCTTACACACACACACATGCACATGGCTGTGCTATGACTAAAGTTCTCCTAGAATTCTCTGAAAGTGTTTCTCTCCCCCACCCACTTCATGAAGAGGTCTGTCTACTGTCCCCAGGTCTGACTCTGATTGACACAGTGGCCTTATCTGGTGGGAGGCATGAAGTATTCCCTGGCATCCAAAGTGTGCACGAATGGGCAAGAGTGTGGGCAAGTGTGTAGCGAAGCCAGGTCAGCTGCCTGTCAGGGTTCTGGAAAAAAGCCCCTGGACAGAGCTGTTCAGGCTGTTCAGTAATAAACTAAACTGCTGTTTTTCGTGTGAGGAAGGGGTGTCTTTTGAGAATCTAGCCAATAGACTGTGGGCCAAGTAGAGCGATCCCTGCACAGATCTGTGGTCAAGTACTTGCTGGGCACTTACTGTGTTCTGTAGGACCCAGGACAGAGACTTCATCTGTCTGAGCCTCAGCTCTGTCAACTGTAAAATGGCATGAACACTGATCCCTGTCTTACAGGTTTGTGAGCATTAAGTGAGGTGAGCGTGTAATGCTTTTAGCAGAGAGCTGACACGGAGCACTTGCTCAGTAAATAATAGCTGCTCTTCTTCTTCACAATCTAGGGTAAGGTATCCCTTCCTCTCACCCCAGCTCTGAAGGAGCTAGCTCTAGCAAGGTGAACAGACACAGCCCGTTCTCTTTCTTCTTCCACTCCTATCCACCTTGCCCCTCGAAACTCCCCCCAGCCCACCCCCACGCTTAGCCCCGCCCCTCCCGCTGGCCCCACCTTCCAGCTAGCCAAACCCAGGCTCCCTCTCCCCGACTTCCTGCTCCCACTAGCCCTGTCCTGGCACAGCCCTGGCTTAGCGGGGCTGGAGGCTCATGGTGTAGTTTCTTGGAATGCTGGCAAAGCCCACGTGTTTCGGGGACACGTCGATATCCTGGGGCGACTGAGAGTGCTTGAAGCAGAAATTCTGCATGATGGTGGTGAGGAAGAGAAAGAGCTCCATTCTAGCCAGGCCTTCTCCAAAGCAGTGCCGCTTTCCTGAAGAGACGAGATGGGAGGTGTGGAGGTGAGGCCAACTCTCACCACTGCCTCGACCCACTACCAGACGCCAGCTGCATTCTCCCCGGGAGGAGGGGTTGGAATATCGTGGCCTGAGACATTTCTGAGAAGTCTCTAACCCTCTCTGAGCCTCATTCTCCAGTGTACCTGGGATGGGGGCGAGCTATACCAAGCTGTAACAATGAGAACTTTAGATGCCCCTTCTCCTTGAATATGCTCTCAAATATGGCTGCTATGCTGTCATCTCCTTCCCAGCCATCTGAAGAATTTAAGTGACCTGGGACAAATCTCTAACTCACACTAGGCCTTGGTTTTCCCCAGCTCTGAAAGGGGTATAAGCATCCCTTTGCTTTTTCCTGGACCCAGGTACTTGGTAGTTAGGGTAGTTGCAGCTGGTTGCCTCCAAGGTAGATTCTAAGAGGGACTTCCAAGGTGGAGAAGGATACCAGGCTACACCTCAGAAAAAGAAGTAGTCCCCGTTGGGTGTGAGTGGTGGCTTGGCAGCAGATAGTGGTCTCTTACCAATGGAGAAAGGCACAAAAGCATCACTCTTCTTAAACTGCCCCTTCTCATCCAGGAAGTGCTGGGGGTTGAAATCGTGGGGATTGGAGAAGAACTTGGGGTCTCTCAGGACGGAGCCCAGCATAGGGAACACTTCAGTGCCCTGGTGGGGAGGAGGCCAGAGGATTTGATAAGGCAGAGTAGGAGATGGGTGTGCAGAAAGCCCATGGGGGTTGGAGGGGGAATTTGAGCAGCCCAGATAAAGAGAAATGGGAGACATGGGAGTTCGGGTCCTTTGAGGGACTTGAGATTCACGACCCTGAGGTAGGAAGTTTGTGCTTCATGGGGTCTGTGTTTCCGAGGCCAAAGGTTTGGGGTAATGGGTGGTCATAGTCTCTGAGATAGGAAGTTCAGGGGACGGGAAGTTTCTTCCCTGAGAAGGGAAGTTTGAAGAACACGAATTCCATGACTCTTGAGGCTTGAGGTCTGGAGGACAAGCAGTTCATGTCTCTCAAGGCAGGAGGCTGGAGTGACATGGGGGTTCATGTTCTCTGAGAGAGGACATTTGGGGAACATGGGGTTCATATTCCCTGAGGCAAGAGGTCGGCGGAGAGATGGAATTCAGGAGTCTCTGAGTGGGAAGGTTGAAGGGATGTGGTGGTTGGGAGTCTTTGACTGAGGGAGTCGGACAGGGGCTGAGGAGCTTCTAAGGGGGATGGGGTCACAGGGAGCAGATTGGAGGTCCCTCTAGGCAGGGCAGAGCAGCACCTTGGGGATGAGGAAGCCCCGAAACTTGGTATCCTTGATAACTCTACGGGCCAGGCTCATGGGGGCCACATCTGCAAATCTTTGGATTTCATGGATCACTGCCTCTGTGTAGGGCATCTTGGCCCGGTCCTCAAACTTGGGCTGACGGTTCTTGCCAATCACTCGATCAATCTCCTCATGAACCTTGGCTGAGGGGAGGAAGGGAATATGTTTAGGTATCTAGGGGTCTGAGGGCCTGGATGATAGTCCAAGTGTGAACAACTATACGTCCATTTGTGACATTTACGTGTTCAAAACAGACATCTGCCATACGCATTGTTAGCCCAGGTTTCTGTTCACCTGATCGTACCAGAATCATAGGAAAAGTCCAAGGAGAAGTCTTCAGGGATGGTCTGCAATCAGAGCAGGAAGTGGCAATTGGTGGGCTTAGCATAGGAGCTATTTTATCAAGTCAGATATTTTAAATATTTTAACAGCTGTTGAAACTTGACTGGTGCCCATCAGCTAAATATCACCCAGTCTCGGGATAGCAGGGCGTGTCTGAGGATCCAGGTATCTGAGAGAGTTGGGAACATTGTCGGGGGCTTACAGGATTTTTGAGGATCTGTGACCCCCACTTTCATGCACCCTCCAGCCTTACCCTCTATATCTGGGTGCTTCATCAGCAGCAGGAAGCCATAACGCAGGGTTATGCTGACCGTCTCTGTGCCACCAATGAAGAGGTTCAACGTGGTCAGCACCAGGTTCTTCAAGCAGAACTCCGTGTTGGGGTTCTTCTGCTCCCGCACTGAGAGGGGGCTTCAGGACAAGCTCACTCCTCCATGGTCTCAGGGCCCTTCTGAGGTTTTTCTTTAGGGCCTGCTTCTCCTAAATCCAGAACAAAGGTGGGAAGAGGGATCCTAGTTCTGCCAGGCTTTCTCTGGTCTGCAAGCCTTTTCCCTGGCTGCTGGCTCTGCCTGATTTGCTCTTCTCACATTCTCTGCCGGCTATCTGTCTTTTAATTATCAGCTTAGTGGTCACCTTTTTTGGTAGGAATATTTAGAAAGAGAGGGATAGTGAGAGACACTGAGTGAAAAAGAGGCACAGAGATGGCATGATAGAATGATTCAGAGAAGGTTAAAGAGAGACCAATTTTCTGAGACACAGACACAGCATTTTAAGCAACAGCATCCTATTCCTTCACTAAAATTCTTGAACCTTACTATGGAGAAATCCCTCCCTTGCTCCTTTCACCTTGAACTTCGAGACTCCATAAAGCCTCCTCTCCTTTCTTCACAAAAGTGAGATTGACCTCCAGATGGGGGAGGGGACACCCCCCCCCCCCACTGTCTCATGGTAAAGCCAAGTCACCTGTCCGCACAGGTGCATCTGATAACCAGGGTACGAAAGGTAAGAGAACATGGTGGCTAAAAGCACCAGGCCAAACGTGAAGGACACCAGGGTTTAACCTAGTTCCACTGCTTCCTTGCTTTGTGACATCAGGCAGTCCACTTATACTCCCTAGGCCTCACTTCCCTCAGTTGTAAAACTGCGGTCATAATAGAACCTCCTTCAAGAGCTGTTCTGAGTTTTAAGTAGGCGAATACCGTGAAGCACTTAACATAGTGCCTGGCACATGGTAGTGTTATGGAAGTGCTTGCTGTTATGATTTGCATGCACACGCCTGGCCCTGGGTAAGGGCTCAGTAGATGGAACAGTGGTGGCTAATTATAACTTGAATTGTGAGGTTTATTGTGATAGGGGACTCATTCGAATGGGCCTCTGTTCTCCTCCATCCCCAGCCTGATTTCCCTCTGCCTGGCTTTGGACCTGCCCGCCTGGCTGCTGGGGTGTACCTGCTGCATGCGGATGAGGAAGGAGTCGATGAAGTTCCGCGGGGAGTTGGGATCCAGGGTGCGTTGGTTCTGCTCCACCTTCTTGGTTATGAAGTCCTCCAGGCCCTGCAGCTCCTTAAAGGCCTGTTGCTGTGGCCCTGGCAGGTGTTTCATCACTGAGTAGAACATCTCATAGAGCTGAGGGTGGGGGACAGAGGAAGGAAAGGGAAGGACTGCTGTCAGTGGGCAGGACTCGATGGCAGTGGGACCTGTCTCAGGGCCAGGAAGGCACTGAGTTAATCGCACCTGCCCAGGTGTTGAGGTATTTAGATGGGGCTGGATGGGAATAGATATCTAAGTTTTCACATGAGGTAAGTGTGAGCATTCCTGTCTAAGAATTTAGGTGAGATGGATTGAGACACATATCCAGGGTTCAGATATTCAGATGGGGCTGGATTGGAGCACAGATCTAGATGTTCAGATATTCAGGTTAGGTTGGGTTGGGAGACACCTGTCCAAGTGTTTACCTATTCAGGTGGCACTGGTGTGGGCGGTCAGTTGTCTAGGTGTTTAGACATTCAGGTGGGCTCAGTAGGAGACAACTGTGCAGATATTTTGGGGATCTAGATTGGAGGCTTCTGTACAGGTGTTCAGGTAGTAAAGTTGTGCTGAAGTGCAGGTGTTAAAGTGGAGGAGATACTTCTTCAGGTGTTCAGATATTCAAATTGCCCAATAAGGGTCCTTTCTATGGGTGTTTAACAGGGCTGGGTTGAGGGACATTTATTTGGGTGTTTGTGGAACAATCTATCCAGGTGTTTAAGTGTTTAGGGGTCTTGGTTGGGGTACCTGTCTAGATGTTCAGATATTTTAGTGGGCTAGACAGCAGGCTTTGTCTAGATATTCCAGTGGACTAGTTTGGATATGTGTGTAGATATCAAATGATTTTGGTGGGCTTCATTTTGCAGCACCAGGTGTTCAGGTATTTAGGGGGTGGGCTGAGGTGGTTACTACTCCAGATGTTAAGAAATTCAGATGGAAAGAAGGAATATCTTAACAAGGGGCACCTGTGAGGTATTAAGGTAAGTTGGGATGGAAACACCTGCCCAGGCGAGAGAACTTGGTTGAGAGCATGAATCTTGCCTGCAGGCTCTGGTTTGCTTTTGTGTGTGTGTGTGGGGGGGGGGGCGGGCAGAATCAGGGCATCTGTTGAGATATCCAGGTGTCAGTGGAGATTGGGTATTGGGAGCCTGTCCTGAATCTGATGCAACTGTCCAGTTGTCCAAGAGTCGGGGCTGGACTTGAGGGACCTTGTCTGGAGGAGATTGGGAGTTTGGGACACCTGTCTCCATGTGGAAGAGGACTTGGCATGTTGTAGTAGGGACCTGGTAGAGCCATACTGGGATGGGTTACCTGCCCCGTAGATGTAGTGTGAACTGGAAGCTTCCGTGCATCATACGCAGCAGTGACAGGAACTCTTTGTCCTCATAGTCAAAGCGGTTCCCAAAGACAATGGAGCTGATGACATTGGAGACAGCTTGGCTCAGGAAGAAGGTGGGATCAATGAAGTTGCCTGGGGAGTGGGATGGGATCGGGGAGAGATGGATTTGGGGAAGAGTCAACTCAGCAGTCAGTTGCCAGTCTGAAAATTTGAGGGGGCCACTGACGTGAAGAGCCAAACTTTCCAGCACCAGACCCCAGAGCTGAAAGCCTGACACCTTCCCCCAACCTAGTCCCCTTCCCAGGCAAGAATGCATGTGTCCCCATCAGGTGTTTTTCTCCTCCTTCCCGAATACTCCAGGGTCCCCCCACTCACCACGCATGCTCTGGAAGGCCTCAATGAGGAAGCCCGCCTCCTCCTGGATGCGCTCCTCAATGCCACGCTTGCCCACTCCGAAGTCCCTCAGTGTGGTGATGGAGAAGCGCCTGAGCTGCTTGGCCCGCTCCCCGTTGCTGAATGCCACGCCTGGGGAGGGAGCATAGGAGTGGAGAAAGGGCAGAGAGGGGCAGGGGCACAACACAGACCAGCCCCAGGGGATCCTGAGAAGTAGGGAGAGCTGAGCAGAGAGAGAGGGAGCAGGTGAAAGATGGAGAGACTCTGAGAGAAAGCCAGCAGAGAGAGAAACAGCAGAAAGAGGGAGGTATAGAGACTCAGAGTCAGAGAAATACAGAAAGAGAGACTGACTTGGAAGAAAAGAATCAGAAGGAGAGAAGCAAGACAGATGCACAGAGAAACGGAGATATAGAGACACTCATGAGAAGAGGGGAGGGAGGGAGGCAAGTGAGATATGTGGAGTTTTGAGAGGTATATATAAAAATGTGAAACATTCTAAAACTGAGCCTAGAGAAGAAAGGAAAATATGGAGAGAGAAACACAGGTGGTCTGGAGAGAGGAGAGACCCACCAGGAGACAGGAGCATGGGGACTTTGAAGCAGAAATAATGTGAGATTCTAAGATTAAGGAAGGAGAAAGAGTGGGAGAGGGAGAGAGAAACACAAGGAAGCACAGAAGCTGAGAAGAAGAAAAAGACAAAAGACACACGGTGACAGAAGACAAGGGTTCCAAAGCAGAAATCAAGAGGTTCTAACAGTTACAGAGAAAGAAGAGACATCTAGTGAGAAGGAACAGAGAGATGGGGCAGAGACAGGCAGGGAGAAGCAGAGAGGCATAAACTCTAAGATGATTTAGAGACAAGAGAAGAGGCACCAATGAACAGAGATGGGGCCAGAGAAGACAGAAGAAGGCTCTGTCACAGCCTGAGGGGATGGGGGAGCAAGAAGAAGACTGGAGACCCCACTGAGGTCACAAAGTCAGCCTGCCCACATTCCCCCACCAGTCCCTCTCACCATAGCCTTTGAAGATCCGGTCAGCAACGGCCAGCTCTCCTCGTCCACTGAATTCCTCTGCCTGGTCTAGCAGAGCCTCCTTTACAGCTTCGTATCCACGCAGCACCACGACCCTCCGGGGCCCCAGGTGAACCATGCACACTGGCCCATAGCGCTTGCTGATCTGATGGAGGTGGGAGTGGTTAGAGGGAGCAGCCCCAACTCTGAACTGGCCCTGTACCTAGGCCTCAAGCACTAAGATGCATTTCCCCATAGGTTCTCACAGGCAAGAGGCTGGAGATCCCAAGATCTGGTGTTTCCTGCCTAGGATCCTGATGCTGAACCTTCAAAATTCCCCTTTCCTGAAACTCTGGTCCAACTTTGTCAATCCTCTGCCTCAAAATCCTAGCCAAACTGGTCAGGCACACACCCCCACACCATTCCACCCATCTCCCTCTGATGGCACCTTCATGAGGGAGTCGTATATCTGCTCTGTGTCCAGCTGCAGGTAGTTCCTGATGAAGGGCAATGGGGTGGGTCCAGGAGGCAGCTTTCCCCAGAGCTCCCTCTGCCACCAGACTGACATGAAAACCATTAAAACCAGGCAGGCCAGCAAAGCCACCAGAAGCAGCCCTGAGGCCAGCATGGTGGCCCTGAAAGTGACAGCCAGATGGTGATGGCTGGGAAGGTTTGCCTTTATACTACCTGGGAGAGATGGTGGATTTTGGTCCTGATGGTGTAATTGTCTCATTTCACCTCCAAACTACACCTACAACCATGCTCCCTGCCTAGCTTGGGACACAGCCAGCAGGGAAGGAGGAGGGGGACCCCAGGGCAGATGAACAGGGATTGGGCCCAAAACTGAATTTGTGGCCCCTCAAGAGGGGCCACCCCAGTGCTGTGGACTTCAGTGCGGGAAGCGGTAGATAAATGCCACAACTGAATGCTTGGAGTATTTGCATGGTGAAGAGGGTCCTGAGCTTGAGATTTGGAGTCTCAGTGTGAGAAGGCAACCGAAAGTTGTGGATTTTGGGGTCTCAAGAGGAAAGAATCTAAAGATCTGGATTTAGGATTTTGGAATGAGGTAGGATGTGTGGTTCTTGATTTGGAGGTCTTTTGATGAGGAGGGATATAGATTCAAAGGTCTCAGAAGAGATTCCAGGGAATAAATTTGAGGGTCTTGAGGTGAGGAAGGACCCCAGGCTGTGGATGTGGGTTTCCTGGGTGGAAAAGTATACAGAGAGTGAAGCTGGATCAGTGAGTCAGCACCTGACCCCAGGCCTTGAACCACTGTTGTTTTGGACACGTTGCCACCTCTTACTGCCCAGAATCCCCATTGAGACCTCAAAGCAAGGTCAGGATAGGTGACATAGAATTGCCCATCTCTGGTTGGGAAAGAGGTTGAAGTCCAGAGTCACATTTCAGTGAAAATTACCACAGAACAGAAGTATGATCTTAGTTGGCTGAGGGACTGGGCAGGATTTGTGAAATAGTGATGAAAACTACCAGTATGATACCAAAAAGTACCAACTCTCTCAAGCATTATAATTTGCAGGGATCTCCACTAGCCCCCTTCCTAGATCCCTCGGTAAGCTCACTATGTTGATTTTGTCATTTCTGTTATTATGTTATTCTTAATGTTTCCCATTTTATATATTGGAATATTGAGGACAGAAAACAAGGACTGGGTAGGGGGCTGACATGTGACTCCTGTCTCTCCTGCTCTGCACTCTTATGCCCCCTTTCTGGGACTGAGTTTTCCCACCAATGTAAAGGGAGTATTTGGGAAGAGAAGGTAAGTATTTGAGGATGTCTGAAGCTCCCTTTAGAGGTAATTCCTGATTTGTCAGGTCTGTTATTAGCTGATAAAGGGAACTATAGCAGGATAGATTTGGGTAAAGTCCAGTGTCGGGAACAGAGATGAGCCTAGGGATGTTGAAGGTGGGAGTAGATAAAAGATGAGTGGCCCTGCTGTCCTTCCCTCTTTGTCATTCTTCCTTACTAATAAGGACAGTTTCTCTTTAGTGAGCACTAACTGTGAAAATTAAGTCTATGTATACATGATTTTATCAAATCATTATAAAAATGAGGCTGGTTCATTATCATCCTAAATTTTCAGTTCAGAAGACCAGGACTCCACAAAACCACCTGCTTGAGGTCACAGAGGTAGTAGTAGAGACCTAGGATTTGAACTCTCTTCTCTTCTTCACAACTGACTAGTCTAGCCCACCCTGGGGCCAGGTAGAGACAAAGTTGAGCAACAGAGGGGTGCTGAGACTGGCTCCAGCATTGGACACAGAGATTACACTGGCAGGTTCTGCTTTGGCATCAGGTTATCCTGGAGAGGGAATAGCATCATGTTGGTATCAAGTTTGCCCCATGGTAGACACTAGGATTGAAAACATGCTGACAGTGATCTTGATACCAGGAGAGGATTAATAGGGCCACTTGCAGTACAAAGAGGGCTCTGAGAGTAGACCCAGGTAGCCATTGAGCTGGCTTCAGGAGGGCAGAAGGATGGCAAAATACAGGCTCTTAGGTTAGTTTCAGCAGGCTCTGACATGAGCATCAGGCAGGAGCTGAGACTGGGCATCAAGCTCTGCACAAGTCTTTGTCCATCTCTCTCTCTTTGTCTCTCTCTCCTTGTCTCTGACTCTCTATCTTGCTCTTTTTCCTTCCCTGCAATTCAGCTTGCCCTTCAACCTTCTTATGTGCTTCTAAATCTCTTTAAGATTGCGTTATTTTGTCCAGTGGATTCTCCTAGATGCTTCTATCACGTTTCCTCTTATGTAGACATCTGTATATGGTCATGTGCCACATGATGACATTTAGGTCAACAGTAGACCACGTATAAGATGGTAGTCTTCTAAGATTAGTACCATAGAGCCTAGTCGTGTAGTAGGCTATACCACCTAGGTCATGTAAGTGCACTCTATGATGTTCACACAATGATGAAATCACCTAATGATGCATTTCTCAGAACACATCCACATCGTTAAGTGACACATAACTATATGTGTCATTCTGGGTGCATGCTTGGGTGTCTGTGCATGTCTGTGTGCATTTTTGCTTCAGCATGTCCATGTTGATATATGCATTTATGCATTTGCATGTCTTTGTGGAGTTTGCGTTTGTGCATAAGTGGGTGTCTGTACCTCTTTGTGTCTATATATGCACATCTGTGTGATGCATGACAGGGTGTGTGCATGTCCATGACAGTGTGCCAGAATGCATGCCCATCTCTATGTCTGTCTCAGGGTAACATATGTACGTGCTTTGGGACATTCCTGTTGGGGGATGTCTACATAATGTATGACTCTGTATTCATGTCTCTGTGCATGTACAACTGGTGACTATATAGGAGCACATGGATGTTTTTGCGTGTGTGCATTCTAGTGTAGTATGCAGGCATATGAGCCATGTTGTATACACATGTGCATCTGAGATCTGCTTATGCCTGTGTTTGTATTCAAGCACAGCCCTGCCCAAGCTCCATTTCCCATCTTAAAAAGACAAAGAGTTCCCTAATTTTTCAGGATATTACCTCCCTCAGTTTACAAGGATCACACTAGGTAGGAAAAGCCTCCATAGGACAGGTGTGTCTTGAGAGCATTTTGAGGTAAGTCACTACCATTGAATTGATTTAAATATCCTCTCAGAAAATACTCTTTCCCACAATATCACCCCCAGCCTCCTAAGCCATTAACAAAGTCATTGAACCAGTGGGCACCAGACCGACTACTTGATGCCATTCTGTAATGAATGCTGATGAGGACACAGAAGATGACCAAGACACCCCTGGGCTCTGCCCTCATGGAGCTCCTGTTCCAGAGAGGGAGACAGACCAGTCACAAGACATGACAGCTGAGAATGGACAGTGCTGGGATGAGAAGGCTCAGGCAGAGGGGTCACAGCTGGTAGGAGAAGGTCCAGACAGAGAGTTCAGGGCTGAGATGAGAAGGCACAGGACGAGAGGTCAGAGCTGGGGTAGGGGAGGTACAGGTGTCTGTAAGAGGCCAGATATGGCACCTGATTCAAAGTTGTAGGTTCAGGTTAAGCCACTGGCAGGCTAAGTGGGAATTTTCCATCAAAGAATAGGGAAAGCTGGGAGGGAGAGTTCCAGGCAGAGGAATCAAGTTGTATAAAGCCCAGAGGCCCATGAGGCATGGTTGAGTGCTGTCAGAGGGTACAGATCTGAGACTTTGTTCTCTGATGAGACTGGAGCCATCAGCATGAGCCAGACTTTCGTGAACCTTCTGTGACTTGGTGGAGAGTTTGGACTCTGTCCTGATGCAATGGGGAACCACAGAGGGTTTTAAGCAGGGGAACAAAATAGTGAGATTTTTGTTTTAGGGTGATTCTTTAGATCTTTGGAGAAGATGACACAACAAGCTGAGAGATAAAGAAGTAGATTCTATAGGCATCTAGGTGAGAGAGGATGGAGCCATGATGATTTGAGGAGTGGTGGGTTGCAGAAGGAAGAACTAGGGAAGGAAGAACTAATTCTTATTTGGTTATAGGTTGGCTGTGCGTGGGTTAAGGGAGATGGAGGAATCCAGTGTAGGAGCTAGATAGTAGTGTTGTTTACTGATTGGAGACACAGATCAGGAGCAGATTTGAGGCAGGAGATAATGAGTTGAACTTTGGACGTGTTGAACCAGGCACAGTCTCTGCTGTTAGGGATTTCTTAAGCTAGTGAGAGAGAAGACCTGGATAAATTAAAGTCCTCACTGATCCTATTCATATTAATTAGTAATTATTAGTAAAAATTTACTGATTAGAGTTGAGGAAGGCTTCTTAAAGGAGGTGTTATTCAAATTGAGTCTTGTGGGATGAGTTCACAGATAGGAGAAGGAAGGAAGGCAGTGTAGGCAGAGAGCCACACAAGCCAGGTCTTCTACCTGTAATATGGATGGAACAGAACAGATACATTTCACAGCTATACCTCCCGGCTCCTCCACAAGCCTCATGAATTAACTTTCTATCTTCTACCCTGTAGACTGACCCAAAACTCTCAGGAAAAACATGGCTCATGCACAAGTGTGCCAGAAATCTATGACACTGTCTCAAATGAGAACCTTTTGTTTTTTTAAGATTGGCACCTGAGCTAACATCTGTTGCCAGTCTTCTTTTTGTTCTTCTTCTTCTGTTCTCCACAAAGTGCCCCAGAACATAACTGTATATTCTAGTTGTAGGTCCTTCTGGCTCTGCTCTGTGGGACACTGCCTCAGCATGGCTAGATGAGCAGTGTTAGGTCTGTGCCCAAGATCCAAACCAGCAAAACCCTGGGCCACCGAACCAGAGCACGGAAACTTGATCCCACAGCCATGGGGCCAGCACCATGAGAATCTTTTTTTTTTTCAATTGAACCAAAATTGACATAATATGAAATTAACCATTTTAAAGCAAACAGTTCAATGCATTTCGTATATTCATAGTGTTGAGAAACCACCACCTCTAAGTAGTTCCAAAACATTTCCAAATGAGAATCTTCAGTGAAACTTGTTGTTTTCAATTTAAATGCTAATCCTTCTAAGAATGATATCATTCACTGAGCTTACTACCTTACTATGTGAAGCTTTTTTCGAGCATGATCTTAATAAAGTCCTCACAGCAAGCCTATGAGGTTGGTTTTATCACTCCCAT